TCCCATGATTATCATATAATGTGTTTTTTTAGCTGGTCTTTTTCTAATTTACTCTATTCAACAAGGCAAAAAGCAATAAGCAGTGCTAAAAAATTTGTTTTTTTAATGCTAACAAAAAAATGACTTAAATTACCTTAATAATTTTTTACATTTTCTTCTATAGTAACGCATTTTTCAACTTTATTCTGTTGTTTACACTTTGTAATCGACAAAAAACACTACTTTTATGTTTAAACTTTCCTATTCTGATTACCGCTACAAAACTGATAAATGTTGTAAGTTAACGAAAAAGTATAAAAATAAAAAAGAGTTTATCGCTAAGAAAACAAAAAATCTGACAAGAATTTATTCAAACAATGACAGAGAAACAAAAAACATTGATCTTTTTAGATCATATAAAAAAACAAAAATGTAAAAAAAGTTTTTTTTTTTACTAAATATATTTCATTGACTGAAAACTGAGACATAGAGTCTGAACAAATTTAAAATTTCAGAAAACGAAACGCTCATTGCAGTGCCTTTTTCTCATTATCTTCTGCTATTCAATTTTTTTTCTTTTGATTCTTAACTACAGCAAAAAATTGAGACAAAAAATTGTTTTTTGCTTTTTTGAACATTACCATAAGTTAAATTAGTTTGTTGATTGAAAAGTGCTTTATTTTTCTCATACAAAGAAGTTATCTATCGAATTTGTGAAAAAACAAAATAACTATTTGCAAAAGCAACGAGGTAGAGAAGGTGAAGTGAACTTTATGTTTGAAATAAAGAAATAACCATTTCTGGTTTAGGCAGACTAAAGAGCTTAATAACTTATAATCAGTACAAAATGTAAATTTTAGGTAGATTGAATGACAGGAGGATAACCGATCAGATACATGACGTGAAACTGATATTGCTTTATTGCTCTGCTTACAGCGTAAAAAACAGATGCAGCGGTTTGTAACAAATCAAAATTATTATTTTCTAATTTTATTCAGATTAATTCTTTCAACTAGCTGATAATTTTTTCAACTATGCTTCTTCATTGGCAAATTTGAAAGGCTAATTGTTTGAAAAAATTTTTTTTATTTTTTTTATTTCTTTTAAGAAATTTAATTTGCTGGATAGAAAAACTAATGCAACAAAAATTTTTGTGCTGAGAACATGTAAATTAAAATGTTTGAAAACTTAAGGTACAAAGAGATCCAGTAAGAGCTTTTGTTTTTATACAAATTTGCAAGTAAAAAACATTGTCACATAATTGTTTGAACTGGTATACAAAAATTATGATTCCATTAAATCAACTAGTTTAATGCTGTTCTAGATACGACAAAAATTCTCTGAAAAAAATTGACAATATTAGGTTTGATTTCTCAAGTTATTATCGAGAAGTGGTAGCATTAAAAAACTTCGTGTATTTTCAAATTTAATATGCCAGTAAATCAGTGTGCTGGTCTACAGAGCAGTTGCACGACAACACTGTAGTTCAAATTTGTTTTCTTTTTTGTCACCCTACACTTCTGCTGTGAAAGTGTTAATTGCTGTTAATACAGCAACTGGATAAGTAATAACTAGTTACACGAACAGATTTCGTCATGAGTTTGGGAATACCTCTCCAGCGATTGCAAACCACTTACTTTTACTCCAATATGCACTGCTGTTGTGAGTCTATTTCTTGCTGTATCTTATGTCAAGACGTTCAGTGAAGATTAAAATAAGGTAACAACAACTTACTTTTTTGTTAACACCTAAATATAATCAAAAGTATCAGTTTAAAATTTGATAAGTTTATTTCTTCGTAAGCGTTCCTTTTTTCATAGTGCCATTTTTTTCTTTTACAATTTTTGTGCAAAGAAATTTTGTCTTATTGAAATAAATACTAAAATTTAGTGTAACAGTTTAATTTATAAACGCTTTGACACAACTGTGTAAAGAAAACAATTATGCAGGCAGAAAAAGAAAAATAGTGCAGAAAATAAGAAGAGACTTCAAAAATTTATGCATCTTCTTTTGGAGCGATGCTTTTGCCAAAAACACCAGAGAGTCTTATCCAGAAAATCATAAGCTGCGCAACGCTGGACAGTAAACAATTAGCAGCTGTGTCAAAGGATAATTACTGCAAATGCTGCATTTTTAAAGTTGCAATAAATTTGACACTTTTTAGCTGATGGAATAGAAGGCTTGTTAAATCTACAGAAGTAAATAAATATTAAAAAAGCACAGATAAATAAATAAACTCAGATATTAGATTATATGAGTTTATATTAGATTATATGAGTATATACTCATACATATATAGGTTAAAAATTTTAACATTTTCTCGAAATAGTGTTTTAAAACATTTCTGCTGAAATATGCCAAAACACACTCAAATTTTTGAAATAAAGAGTGACCAAATTTAACTTCGAAAAAAAAATTTTTTTTGTTTTTATTAGTTATTTATTTCTCTGCAAACGTAAAATAGAATTATTGATTTTAACTGTGCCTAATGACAGAATTATTAATATTACTTAAAATTTTTCATTCTTTCAATAGAATTTTGATTGGATATTAGTAAAAAAAATCAAATAAAACGATAGCTGAAAATAAAAGAAGTTTTGAATATTATGGTAATAAGGTGAGGTTTAAAGTCAACTTTCATCTTTGCTTTTGATTGTAATTGAAAGTGTTAATGATCGGTAATTGCTGTATTTTGCTTTTCTTCTTTTCACGTTTTATTTTTCATTGTTGTGTTGAAAAAAAAAGTAAGAGAGGACATTCGAAAACCTACTGTTCATTGTATCTGATTGAAACAGGCGATTAGTCTGATGGGAATGCCAAAACATTACCACTGACTTTTTTTTCTTGGACAGCGCTACCTGCTGATTCTTTAGAAATGGGGTGAAAAGTTGGAGTTTTTAATTTTTTTCACTTTTTGTTGGTCGTCAAATGTAGATAACTTTGTTTATTCACACTATAAAAAAGTAAAAGCTAGCGCGAAATTTAACAAGTATGAAGCAGTGTTAGAAATTGAACTGCATAATGTACAAAGTTAAGCAAAAACTTTAAAAAGTTTTTTTCTTCTTCTCCTTCTTTTCGTCTTCTGTTTTTTTACCACTATTATTGTCTTAGTCGAAAATCTTTTTTTAGTGGCTCTGAACGTTTTTCAGTATCTTCTTTTTTTGTTTACTCTTTAATTCCTAGTTGATAAACGTTCTCCAAGCACTTTTTTTTGTCCTGACAAAAACTAAAACTTTATGTCAAACCAGATGACAAAACAGGAAAACAATTCAAAACCCTGATACGATGCAATTAAATGAACTTTGATACCTGTCCTGCGCGACTTTTTCTCAGTATTTTTTCTGCTTTCTTTGCAGTTTGAAGTTCTCTGCCTTTGCTTATTCTTTTCTTTTCTAACCTGCTCCTCAGTTTCCACTCTGTTATTCCTGCTTTAACATTCTTTGGTTTTTAAAACAAAACTTTAATCTAAGTTGCTAATCGGCATCGCTTTGCAAGAGACAAGGTTACAGCTAAGGAAAAGGTAAGTGTAAAATGGACAGAGTATTTATTGAATGATAAAAATGGCGATAATTGTTAAACAGCACGACCGTATGAAAGTGTGATAAAGTGGATGGGAGAAGACTGATAGATAAAGAAGCAGAAATATAGAAAAAGTAATAACAAAATGTAATTCTAAATGAATCAGTAGATTTTACTTTGTTTGGGAACAAGAGTGTGTGTAGACTTATATATGATCATTGGAAATGATGTTGTTCAAAGTAATTGAGAGGAACATTTAAACGCTGAAGATAAAATTTCAAACAATTCTCTCTTTCTTACCCTCATAGCTATCTTCCTTTCTCTTCTTTATTATTTCAGCAACCATGTAAAGTATCACTACTGAGCGCTTAATGTATTAAGTGCTGAAATTTGACCTCCTTTAAAAAGTTATTCTTGAGAAAAAAGTACTTCAATTACGTGTATTTTGCATCACTGCTGAAAATTAATAAATTTGTTCAAGTGGTTATTTGACGCTATCTTTTACATAGAAGTCTGCGAGGCACGTTTTCCTGCTTAAACACTACTTCTTTTCCCTTTCTTTTTTTTGCTATAGATTAAAAAAGATAAATCTGTCAATCCTTCCACAGTCTGCCAAAAATAGGCAAAATAAAAACTGTAACTTAAAAACTAATTTTTCATTTTTTAGGTATTCTTCAAAAGAAAAAAGTGACATAAATAAATAAGTATTTTTTTCCTATTGGTTTTCTGTGATCGCTAAATTAATGCCACTTTCCTCTGTCTAAAACTTTTATTACAAGCTCATTTGCAGTCAACTGCTTATCTCTAACAAGGCTAAATCTCGCTTTCTCTTGTTTAGTCAAACTACATTAGACAATGCGAACAGTGTAATTCCTCAAAAAAAGTTCTTTGCAGTCTCGCACGGCTCATGCTAAATGCCCTTAAAAAGATCTGAAAATCGCTCGCACTGTTTGAGAGCTTTCTTTGCTGAAAAGTTTTTTCGAAAAGCCTTATTAGCAAACCAAAGTTTAGCTGCTTTAAGCTGTTTCTTTTCCATCACCGTATCGCTAAGGTCATTAGAAAGCAGTTAAAAAACTGCAAAATGTAACGTACGAAATCCTCTTTATCATTTTAAAAAACGAGAAAGTCACATTAAAAGATGTTTGAAAGAATTGATGAACGAAAAACAAGAGCTTTGAAAAAAAGTACTACGCATTTTGTCAAGTTTCTTCATTTGATTGCTCGACTTCTCTTCCATTGTTGCTTTAGTACTTCATTTCAGAAATTGCTAAAAAACTTCTTATCTGCTTCAAATAAATAAATTGCCGATAATTCAATGAA